GTTTGATACATAAAACCTTAAGCCTAGAATTCTATTTATAGAGTTAGGATTCTAAACAATACAGTAAATTGCTATTTCCTAATGTTTGTCTTTTCTTCATGATTTCTCTTTTCTCTAATTTCCTTTATTGATTGATTTTCCTTTTGCTTGTTTTTCCCTTTTTTTGTTTTTCTTTATTTTCCTTTTTTACTTGATATTCACTTTTTTTATAGAAAACGAATCTATTCCAATAGTTCAAACCCTAATACTTTGTACGTGTCCCATCTCATGGAGGTAAAATTGTTGTGTAATTATAGATTGGAGAAATGATGTGGCCTTGAATTATTTTGTTGTTTTTACATAGATAAAAATAAAGCTTTTATGTTTTTATTTTTGGAGAAAAAAATCTGGATTTTAGCAGATATCCGAACAACGGATATCCGGTTTCGCTTTTATGTTTCACACCATTGATAGAGTTGAAGGTTGTGTTACGGTTTGACTGATCGGTTGCTCATGCATCTTCATTATTTAGTTATCACATCTAAATTGACAAAAAATTGTCGCTTGGAGATTTTTTGTTTTTGCCAAAAAAAACCTGATCTTCTGAGTTCTGATAATTAAGGCATGGCAATATTTTTTGGTAAGCTTTTTTTTTTGGTGGTCAAAAAGAAATCACAAAGGAATAAATGAGTTCGAATACGCAACGACACAGTTGTTATAAGCATGTATAACGTTGGATAACTCTAATGTGATAATCCATTGCGACATCGACGCATGAACTGAAACTGTGAGCGGTCGACATCGAGTTACAATTATTTTTCGTACAAAAGTTTATATGTTTTTATATTATTAATTTTTTTATTTATGAGCAATAATGGACATTTATGTGCGCATAAGAGTTTAGAATCTTTTTTTTTTTGGTCGAAAAGAGTTTAGAATCTTGCATGGGAACGTGTTTCACGTGACAAAGAATAATTGTCCTTGCGGATATGCATTAACAATTTACCTTTCAATTGTTACGGATATGCATTAACAAAACTTTTAAGGTGAAGCTCTTT